GTTTTATAGTTAACATCGCGGACTCTGTTAGACAACTGTTAGAGACTAGGTACCATTGATCAGCGGTTTCTTCTTGGTATAAGACTCTTCACTCTATTTTACGTATTTACGATCCAGTCGACAATCAAACGTAAGACTTCAAACTCTGTCAACGAGCTCTTAACCTTCAGACTGTTGAGCTATTGTCTAATTCTTTACATGTTGAACCTCAATCGTTTCGCGATATTGTGCAACTTACAAATGTTCATTGTTTCATGGTTTTCTATCGTTGTCTAGCTGGAGTTAATCCTTGATAAAAACCTTAATATTCAACAATCTCCACAAACTCTCTATATTACTAATGTTTTCTTCATTGTAAGAAACTGAGAGACATTCAGCGGGTGTATATTTGAAAAAGGTTGTTCACGACATATAATTAACAAATTCACAATTTTTGTTATCATGTTAAGAAAGAATACTATTCTAATTAGTCACTATTGTTTTATATTCTAAATTTAGTTCATTATTTTTCCCCCTTACGATAAGAAATAAATATTTCTCCAATAGGTTGGGGTGGGGGGGAGAATTCTCTTTACAACAGCTTAATTTTCTAAAGTTATGTAACTGTCTTGTACATATAAATTAATCGATGTGAAGATAAATTCATAATTATGGATGTTCACGATGAGAATGATATTTCTGTAATGTAATTAATATAAGGTAATCAAAAAATTCAATTGTTTATTTCACGTGATCTGTTTACAAAGATTAATTTCTCTTCCCACATATGGTAATAGGCTGTTTAGATTATTCTTATCACTGCTATTGGAGCATATTTCATCGTACTATCAATTTTTACTTCGTCTTTGTTAGGTTCGGTTATATATACTACACTATTATTATCACTAATTTTTTGTTATTGATACACATTTAAAAATAACTATATATTAAAATAGTTTAATAAGAATGTACCTTAAAAAGAATCCCCTTCACTTTCATATCCACGTAATAGAAGTTTTTAATATTACAATTTAAACATTTGTTACGTAAGAATTCGAAATATGAATTTATGTATGATACAATTTATAAAAATCTGTTTATTATTATTTTACCATCCTTCATATTGATTTCTTTTGGATGCTGGGTTGGGCTTGCTGTGTTTTGTATGTTATAGTTGTAATATATTATGAGAATGGGACTTGTAGAGACTGTAATAATTTCAATAATTTGTCATCTTAATTGAATATCTATTCTTACTTTTCTTTCTTTTATAAATAGTTTATCTTTCAACTTCCAGATTGTTTGCAACTTTATTGATAGCAATAGTTGAAGCTATAAACTTTAAATATATTATTGACTTGTTTTATTCCTACAGATCATGTATTACTGTTCAAAAAGGATTAAGCGGTGATACATCTTTAACATGGTAGAGTTGCATTCATTATCTTTATATGAATATAAATTATATTTTCTAGTGATAATAAAGGTTTATTCAAATCTGGGAATCAAGTTTCATCTAATGAATGGTTAAAAATTATGATTGATTTACCACCAACAAATACAGATTATAAGGTATGATAATTATGGGAATTTATGAGATATTTTAATTATAGTGGTTTTATCATCATTATCCTGTTAGCTAAAGTAATACATTGATGTGATAACTAAATCACATGACCATAGATACACTTGCTTAATTTTTTTATTAAGAATCAAAAAACAACAACATGATTGTATTATCAAAATGATACAGAGTTGGCAAGAAGTTCTTTCAGATCATTCGGTTGTATCTATCTTTCTTCGCTGCCCAATCATAACCTATCCTGATGGTAAATAACTATTGACTGAATTTGCTTAATGTACTGGAGTTGTACTGCTTAAGCGTTGATTATTGCTTTTTTTATAGATCCACTTAGTTGGAGATTATTTGTTAATTTATTTGCTATTTTTTTCATTGTTGTATTAAATGATCAACGCTTCCCTTAGTCATACATTTTATAGTCCTTAACCAATAATTGTTGCTTATTAAAATTTTCTCATTACTTTAGCAATCCATTTGAATATATATTCACATAATTAAAAAAAAGTTTTGAAACAGGTCAACACTTTGACCTTTATTAAATAATACGCTCTGTCTAGGGTTAATAGGATTATTTTCGTAAGTGACCAAGGTGCAGTGAATAGTTCCTTCATTCCTTAATTGATTCCTTATGAGCTTAGTTATCAATTACAATGCTTTTTCCTCAAGTTTTCTTGCTAGAGTTAATGATATCACTTGGCTCCTCAAAATAGTTTGGTTGCATATTCATATTTTCGGTTATTAATGTTTGAAGGTTTGCTAAAGATATTTTCAGGATGCTATTTTTATTTCGTAATGTAAATTATCTTTTAGTTATGTTGTTATTTGTTTATACGTTAATCTTTCTATTATCGTCTACTAGCTTAACTGGGGAATACATTGTAAGAGGTTTTTTTTCGATACCAATAGAATATCTCATGATCAGATTTAAGCCTAAATCCTCATCATCTAGATCTGATTTACCTAAATTGTATAATTATAATTTATAAAACAATTGTTCTTCTGAAGTGTTTTTTGTATATGTTTGTATATAGAGAGACTGAAGTGTTAGATACGTTTGTTGTATTGTTGAATGAGAGTATATTGAAGTAGAGTGTATGATTGATGTGTTTATTTTTTCGCTTTCCCCTTTTACCGCTGACTGTTTCTACAAGTAATAGGTTATTATCTATCTGTTGCGTATGAATTAAATAGTAAATATTTGCACAATTTCTCCACACTTTTTCTAATATATCTTATTGTGTATATATAGATCTTGTAAACCATCCCTTGATCCAGAGACTAAACAATTCGGTGTATTTTGGTATGTTTCTTGTATATTTATATATAAATATATATCATATATGTGTCTAGTGGCAACGCGAAATTATGGAGTTCATCTAATGACAAACAATTTATGCACACGACAACAAAATGGCTTACAGTTGTAGTGAATTTAAATTCAACTGACCAAGATTTCAAGGTAGAGTGGTTTAATGACTCATATTTAGTTAAACTTCATTCTTTTTCCATTTATATACCTCTCTTCTATTCTTCGACTTCATCTTTTCGATGACTTATTAGTTTTCTTTACTTTATTCTAATGGCTATTTCTCGTTATATAGTATCGTTACTATTTTTTATCATAAATTGAAAATGTTGTTTGTTCATTTATGTGTGGTAAGAAAAACCAAGTCCATACCAATAGGTTTACATATTAAGTCGTTTAAAAGTCCTTTTCCTGGGTATTCAATTTTTGTAAATGACGTTTTGTTAATGAAACATACAGTATATTAATTTGACCATAGTTTAAACTATGATTTGTTTTTTAATGCTCACATAATATTTGCACAATTATTTTCATGCTTATCCTTTATTTCTAATTCTTACTTAGTATTTAAAATAATTGTCATAGTTTCTTTTTTTCCTATTTCGGAATTGTGACTTAATTATTGAAACACTAAAATTTATGGCATTTGAACCTTATCACACAAAATTTGATTTGGTTATCTAAATAGTATTGATTATTGTCACATATAAAGTGTGGTCTCTCAAATCGAGTGTACAAGTTGGAATTGAAATAAATCGTTATTATTATTATTATAACTAATACTATTTTCATAGTTACTATTATTATTAGTAGTAGTACTAATATTGTCAACATTATTATTATTATTATTATTATTGTTCTTGTGAGAATTTATTACCCTTTTCGAGTTAATGACTAAGGTTTATGAGGTCCCTTTTTCTTTACCACAAATACTAAATTTCATATACATAAACAATATTACCAGTTACTTAAAAAGTTGATTTATTTTCAGTAATATTGAAAATATTATTTCATCATGCTTGAATAAAAAAAGCAATTTCTAGAAAATCATATTTATCAGAATAAAATAAGACATTATCCTGTTATTCATTTTCATCATTTTGCATAGTGTTGATTTTTGTCAATTCTTACTACAACATATTATGTATAACGTAGTGGGTCACTTACGTCCAGTCACATAGACTATCATCTGACCTATTTCACTATTGATTTGCCACTAAATAGTGTCTAACGTCACGTTTGTCTAGTCCTTAATCGAATTGTCTATCAAGTTATTATTTCATCACAAGTCTAAATAACTCGATATCGCTTGCACTATGTTGAGATATTAATTGGTTGAAAGTCGTCATCAGGGAAACCTTGCTTTCTACCACTCTTTTTTGAGGTACAAAGTTTCACAGCTGATTGACACTAGTCCGACTCCAACGGACAGTATCAATATCGCAGATCCGTCTTGATGACAAATGCCAAATTACACAAAACGCAGGTCAAAAATTACTTTCTGGATCACCTCCGATCACCTGACTTATAAACCGTTAACCACTAATTCCAAACATTTCAGTGGTCTGATATGATGTACAATAGGTTTGGTTTATGTTTAGGAAAATTCTAGTTAAATTTTCACTTTATAGTCATCCAATATTAGCATGATTCATAATTTTTCACATGGATCTTGTATCATTAAGCATTTTAGTGCCTAAAAAATAACTTTTCGATTCCTCCTGTTCATATCAAGTTCTTTTTCTAGTATAATTATTATTTTAGCAAATATATGAACGAGCTTGACAGCATATATAACACTTAGTATCTAAGTTTAAATGCCAACCAATATACTATACCCAATATAAATACTTCCCTTCTTAAGCGAAAGCAAAATGTTAAGTCATTTAAAATTTTATAAACATATTATTACATTTACCTTAAGACCCAGTTTATTCCAGTTATATAAAACAACAACCCCAGTCATCCCATGCTTTTATCAAGTCAGTTGACAATCAAAACTATTCTGTCTCATTATCTATAGGCAAATATGCTCCAGACGTTTTCTATAGTTTATAAATCTCAGTAACAATCTATATCATACATATATTGCCTACAAAAAATATATTTTCCTACATTTTTTCTACTTTTCAGCTGATATTAGAAGGTACGATTCCTGCTGGCTATCCGGATGCTAGAATCTGTGTTGATAATATTACTTCTTATACTGAACCATGTAGTGGTAGGTTATATGAAGCAAAATCATTTTGCGTGATAACGTTTTTGCATTATAGTATATTATATACTATACTATGTCGTCTGTAGTTTGTTTCCGTAAAAAAAACTCTTCATTAGGTAGAATGCAGTCATATAGTAGTAGTTCATTTAACCTCCCTCTTTGTTTTCGTGTGTGAAACACTTGATTTTTAGTCACCAAGTTGTAGACTTAAACTTTACTCTACATCTTACTTCTGTTGAATAATATCACCAACCTGTACAAAAAATGTCATTATTTAAGCTGAATACATATAACCTATTTATATTTATTGAAATACGTCGAAAATTTAGAAAGTTGTAAGCCATTTTCCCTGAAAGAATTTTCGTTCCATTATTCAACTGTATGATGTGTTATATGTTACTCATTTTTCTCGTACTGCAGTCGAATCTATTTTAGAAAAGTCACTTTTCACAAACAGCTTTTCTAATATACCTGAAAATATTGCCTTTTTCCTTCTACATGCAGTGGGCTTCTTCATAGGTTCTATTATCTCCGAAGTGATTCAGATGTTTTATTATCACCGTAAAACAGTGGATTTAATATTAGTGCCTAATGACGGTCATAGGTACAACATAACCATAGCTTTTAAAAATATCCTGCCGCTTCAAAAACTTGAAGCTTGTTCTAATGCTAAATTTAAAAACAATTGCTTCTTATGTTTATGATCCTCACCAACTGATTCAGTTCAAGATTGCTTATATTATCATGACAAGATGTAAGTAACCATGAAGGTGAACACTAAATAACTTTTATCTTGAAATCATTCCATTTTAGAAATGAATCAGATCATTAGTGTATCAATTTTCCTCCACTTATATGATGAAGCAATATCATTAGCATTATGAATATATCGTAAAAAATTTTTTATATCCTCATTTCTCTCGTGTAGCTTTGGAGAAAGCATCTGCACCATTGCCAAGTCAATGGAGTTGGGCACAATACTTTGGATTGACATTTGTTGGTGCTTTGATCTTAGGTTTATTAATACCAGTGTTGTTTTTGGTTATTCTGATTTGGGCTTGTCGTCGCCGTCATCATGCTATGCATTCAAACTATACAAATAGTAAATTATTTTCAACAAATCTATGGTATTACATTGGTGGCAAAGAAATATGTGATGATCCAAATGGTTTTCGTGGTAGTTCAAGTATGTTACGTTCAAAACAATTTAACTCACCGTCAGCAACTGGTACTTTATTGAATGGTGGTGGTGGGCATCATCTGATGTTGAGTAATGCTGATGTAATGGATTTACCTGATGTAGTTGTACCAGGTGGACGTGTAGTGGCTTTTAATTATTCCGGAAATACTTTAGGCGGCAACACACTTCGTCATAATCATAATAATGCTGGATATACAAACACAAATTATCTGTCAAATGCACAAAATAATCAGGTTATGCTAACAAATGTTAATGGGACAGTTTCACTGAATAATTGTGGTACAAATGTTACTACTGTTGCACGCACTGGTCAAAATACAATGCCGTTAGTGTCAAATGAACTCATTCAACAACAGTCACAAAGTCAACAACAAAATGAAGCTTACAATTACCAAACGAATCCGGTTTTTGGGGGTATGTTGTGCTTACGAAGAAAAATGGAATGGTTTTTTTTATTGTTGGTTGCTTAATTGCCAATTAGCATTGTAAACTCTTTTGAAGTATATCCTATAACATTTAAGCTCATATAAAATTCTACTTCCAGGTTAGTCTTCCCTATATTCCTGGTCCGTTCATATTGGTCACTGATTAAGTGATCACAATCTTAATACGATTAATTCGCTATACACATACCTGATATATGAATTATGTGACCACTTTTTTATCCCAATATAAGGTGGTAGTTAATTGCAGTCTACCGTAACCTCTGGGTTTAGGTTTCATGTTGGTTGGCACTCATCAACAGGGTGCACATGTGATCGTGAAGGAAGTGTTGCTCCTTAGAGGATCCGATTTCCTGTCACCCATCTCCATAGTCCGTGAATCTATTTTAGTGAACGAGAACACAAGTAGGGACAATCGAATGTATTTGAACGTAAAGTTACAGAACATCTTACTAAAGTCTGAAAACCATACAGTAAGTACCTAATTTGCAAAATGTCAACCAATTGTCTCAAACTTGACTGTTCCTTTACAAATACCGGTCAATCGTCTCAGACTTCATTTCGATAATGTAATAATAAGACGAAGATTATCAGAACTATGTGATATATTAGCGCAATACATTTCGAACAATCTGATCACATATATGCTTGTTAAGAACATTTATCTATAAAAATAAAAGGTCAACTAGACTGAAAATGAGGGTAAGAATAGACAAGGATAATAATGTGAAAATAATTTGACACCTAGTCACTCTGGATAATAAGCATATATTACCAGGGTAGGTTTAAGGAGAGAACAAACTGTTTTTGAATACACAAAGGGGGTTTGAATTTTCGTATGGCAAAGGCTTCAATAAACCTCAGTATACACTTTTCAACAACACAACGAAAGCCGAGTTCAGATCAATCTTATGACCTGTTCCGATTATATGTTTGGCAATAGAAGATGATGGATGTTTATCCTCTACTCTTATTGTTCTTTTGTTTCCGAACCAATCACTTTTTGTCCCTGTTCTCTTGCTTCGATCTTCTTAACCTTCTGCCTCCAGACATTTCACTTTCGATTGGTGGTATATACTACTTATACCTATCGACATCAGTAGCACACACCACACTATCACTGAGCCATCCGGATTGTGATAGATCTCTTTCAGAACTGAGTCATACTTACAACTGAACGGTCGTTAAATAAACACCATTGTCATTTATGTCGTTCTCCTTAGTGCGAATGCGACTGTCACATCCGAACGGGGAATAAGTGAATGGTGACTGCTAAGAATGATTTATGGACTATTATTATATACATTCCTATCGGATAACTATTAAGTAACTAAATTATATGTAAATTCATATTTCTTTTTATCATAAGCTCTCATCTGATCTGTTGATTACTGTTATACAGTTTACCATTCTTGATTTATTCCCAATCTATTAGTAACAGTCTCCTATACTCACAGCCATTTTGGGCTTGGTCTTGTGTGATTATTACTTTTTATTCTATGGTGCGATGCGGTCTGGTTTGCTTGTATACAAACCACATGTGTCTGAAATATTCGATTCATACAGTGGAGGTTGATATTTGTGTTCTGGACCCAACAAGAAGGTTTAGGCGAGAAGTTAATATTTAGAGGGCTAATAAGGATTCAGAGTTGACTCAAGGCTGCTAGTGTTAGTTGATGTGTCATTAGTCTAGCGCAGGTACGAGGTCATAGAAGTCTGCATTTTGATTGACCATTTTGCCAGGGGGGGCAAAAGTGATAAAAGCGATCAGCACCAAGAAGGACTCGATATTCATGTCAATGATCGCTACTTAGTGATTGATCAGTTGTGAAATTTATCCTAATAGTTTTCCGTAAAGTTTATTCTTTGATAGTTATAATAACTATTTCACTTGTATCCTGTTTTTCTCTATTCATAATTATTATTCAGAATCTGTCTCTATGGCAGTGATGACAGCCAGTCAATCTCCAATGCTAATGACACAATCTATGGCACCGAATTACGGTTCTGAAGCGAATCACGTTGCTCAGTCAAATTTTTCTAATGTAAGTAAAAAGTTTTTTTTAAACTGAGAAGAGAGATGACGGATGTTATGTAAATTCCACATGAAAGATCTCAGTGGTATTGTATTTTTCTCCAAGGTAGATGATTTATATCATAAAAAAACGTAAAGTGAAGACATTAAAAAATAATTTGATCCATGGACAAAATCAGTGTTAGGTATTCAGTAGTTTAAATGATAGAAACTCTACGCAGCTAATTATTCAGTTTCAGTTTTTAAAATAGTTATGGTGTTGAGGTTGAAATATTCAGATGTAACTTCCCTAGGTAGACTTATATATATATATATATATATATATATATATATATATATATATATATATATATATATATATATATATATATATATATATAGTTTGATGAGCGAGTTTTTAACCTCAACCTGTGAAGTCACCTGAGTTACATTTGATGTATTTACTCGCTGATAACAATTTGTAGGGGTTGTACTGCAAAAATCGCTCGAATTTGGAAATGAAGACAACTATACTTCAGCTCAAATAGTCTTAAGACGTCATTCTAGAGCTCAAAAGATTTTCGACCCGATTCCATACGAAATTGTAAGTAAGCACTTACGATATAGTTGGGTAGTGATTTCATTTTTTTGTTGACTTCCAAGCTAATGTCAATTTGCAATCGAAATTACCTTCAAATTATTAGTGAATACTTTTGTTAATTCCCGTGAATTATTTTTTTTGATCCTGTTAATCTTAAAAAGTCATGATTTAAAAATTCTCGTTCGCCTATCAAGTAATGAAAATACAATACATTTCTTCCTTTATGTCTTGTCTAAATTCGGATAAATAAATTGCTTGTACATGAAATCAATATTAATCCAGTAGATAAGTATAAGTATATTAATTGTTGAGTCATGACCAGTGTGTGTAAATATTGTTTGTTTTCTTGGTCAAAGTATGAACATAATGTATAAAATCCACCTTAAATATAAATTAAAGTAGTATTTAAACGTTTCTACTAATTATAAGCAAAGATGGATGGTAATTAGCAATAGAGTCCAGGATGTGGATTTTGTCATATTTTGGACTCTTCAACTGGATGTATCTATATCCCAGAGTTAGTTTTTGCTCCGGGACTTAGACCCATTACCTTTCGCATCAAACACCATCGCGTTATCCACTTAGCTACTGAGTTCAGATTACCACTAGCTTGTGCAATGGGGTGAAGTTTTAATTCGTTTTTGTATTGTTTGTTCGAATCTTCCTATTGATGTTTAGGACTTCAACTGATCAGTTTCTAATTTACATATGTGCATCCTGTGCAGATAGCCTCGATATTGCCTTAAGTCTCGGTGTGAATATCTCTTGGATATAGGTGCATCCAGTTGACAAGTCTCAAATAGGACAAAACCTGCGCCCTTGTCTCCACTGCTATTCACCATCCATCTTTGTTTATATTGCTTGTGACCTAAGGCAGTATCGAGATAATCCTCACAGAATGCACATATGCCAATAAAGGACGGATCAATTTCAGTCCTAAACAACAATAGAAAGTTTCAAACAGGCAATAGCATAATAAATTACTTTCTAATAATTGTTTACAATCAGTAAACCATAGGTAAAATATTTTGTAAAATTTTAATAACTAAAAACTTATTATCTAATCACTTGTCTTTGAATTTTTTCATACCATAGACTAATACTCAACAAATAAATCAATTAAATCCAAGTGGTCAAGCATACAACAAACCAACAGTACAACAACAGCACCATCAACCACGTGCACAATCGCAATATTTTCCCCCGACTCAACAATCTCAAACGAATTTAATTCAACCACAACCACAAATAGCTCAATCATTTCAACAACAACAACCGTCTAACTTTCAATTTCAGAACCAACCTCAACAGCAACAACAACAGTTAGTGGCTAACCAAACACCTGCTTCTAATCAATTTCATCCACAACAACAACAGTCGGTACAACAATCACAACAACAGCAGTTTCCCTTACCACCGCCACCTCCAACATGTCAATTGCATCAGATGAATCTTCAACAGGCTGCAAATTTACCATCACAAGCACAACAACAAAATCAACCCGTTTCTTTTAATCAACAACCAGTTAATCATCAGTATCCATTTCAGTCACAACCATCACAAGTACAACAACCAATACCGACTGATCAACGAAGACAACAAGTAGTGAATGGACAAGTACAAACATCTATTGCTGTTGTTACTGCACTTACTGCTCCCACTCCACTTGGTACATCACAACAAAATTGTCAACCTTTACAACAACAGCCTAACACTAATACTACAAATCCTGGAAATAATAATTTGAATAGTGGAAATGCATTAATAACAGCATCGAATAATCGTTGTTTATCTATGTCACCAACTTCTATTGGAACTGATTCACTTACTGAAGCTGATCAACAAGCGGCTATGGCTTTGTTAGCTGCTGCCACTGAAGGTATGGATACATTTCGAGAAAATCAAACAACACCGAGTAGTTTACAATCTCCAATTCCAATAGTTAATAATAACATTAGCAGATTAGATTCATGCCTAAATACTAATACTACCACTACTACTACTACTACTACTACTAATAATAATAATAATAACGCTCAAGTACCAGTTGATGAAGATAATCCACCACCAGGATACGATGAAGCTATTGGTTTGATACAAAACAATTTCATGAATAATGTTAACATGGCAATGATGATGAATACAATGGTAAAACCAGCTGTTCCTATACCGAACACAACTTGTACACCACCACCAGCATTACCACCACGTCGAATTATTAATGGTGTTGGTTTAGAAGATATTGAGGATCCACAATCAATGACATCGTGTATATCGTTAGCTGAACGTTATGGCCTACCGGTAGCTGAAATTTAAGATGAACAGAGCGAAGGTTTTAAACGATGGATATTGTTGAACTCTTTAGGAAATAATTACATCATTGAATGCGTAACAGTCGTATGATTTTTGCTTAGCGTAATTTTTCATCGCATCCCTTTAATGTTGTTGTTTTTCCTTTTCTCGCTTACTCATCTTAATTAATGTTTGTTGTTGTCCCCATTATTATTATTATTTGTTGATGTTACCATTATTTATTGTTAATGTGTACTTTTCGTATCTGCATGTTTTCACGTCTACTTGTGTCTATTCTTGACATTTCATTTCATCAAATTAATTATTTATCTTACTCATCGCTTAGCTTATATAATGATTTTACGTTTCATTGTTGCTGTTTTCACTTGTTTTAATCATAATATTGATAGTTATACATTTGCAATCATTTTTCAAGTATTACATTTTAAATAGTAGCATTCTCCTGTCATAAAAACTTATGCAACTGACATTGTTATGCTTAAATTTAAGTTTTTTATGCCCTAATTAACCCATTTACTGCCTAATGATAGCTAATATAGTATAAGTGTTTACCATTATTATCTCACTGTCATCCACACACACACACACGTACACGGTAATTGAATTTACGCAATTCATGTTCTCATATTTTTTGGTGAGAAAGTTAGTGATAAAACTAAAGCATTTTAATCTTCTAGCCAATCGTACCGAAGAACATCAGCTGCATAAATATATATGTATATCTATGTGTGTGTATGTGTGATCTGTGTTTCGATGCTATCACTCTGCTAGTAATTAACAACTACATTATTCCAACACAAACTCATCAACAATCACCACATCAAAAAACCCTAAATTATGACAGTCATTCACATCTTGATTTGAAATTCCTTCTTGTCTTCGTTCGTTTTCATTGCTGTTATTTTGAGCGAGTTCTTCTCGTATTACTTCACTCATTTCTAGTTATTTGTGTTTGTTTTTTCTTCTTTGCAATTTTACCAAACTTTTTATCTTTATTTTGTTTTAATTTGTTCCTTATTGTTTTGTGGAGGAATTTTATTGATTACGTAGAACTCTGCCAAAATTTCTCACTTCTCTCTATTCATCCCACCTTCGGAGATACCATAGGATGGGCGTTAATTTTTTTTTGATCATTACTGAGGAATTATACATGTGATATGAACATGTAGTTAGGAAAAATGCTGTGCTTTGTTTATTTGAAGGTGCTTCTGGCTGAGCTTTCTTCTTTTTACGTTTCAACATTACCTAACAATTGCAATATGTATATCTTATGATTTGTTTGATTTAAACGTGCAACATAGTTGTTGATCTTTATTATCGACTATCCAATTATCTGTTTGTTCATTTCCCTTATGTTTTATCTTGAATTTTAACCCTTATTTGCATTATCATAACGTTGTCATGTTGTCTGTCATTTTGATCACTTATTCAATGAATAATCAGTGTATTGTCATTTTTTCATGCTTACTTCCTTTGCTTCAATAAATAAATGTTCATTATGACCATTGCTTCTTAAATATTTGTGATTGTGATTTTAACTACTTTATATCTATTTAGGTAGTCAATTTTCTACCATATATTTACGAAGGAACTGTATAACTCATTATTTGAAAAACATTAAACTCATCATAGTTGATGGTCAAAAAAATGCCATGACTTTTTAGCCCGTTCTCGTCTACATTAACCAGTTTATGTTAAGTTTACTATGATAATAAAAGTGATTGATATGTTTCAATATCGAAACAGTGATTGCAGGAAACTAAACCTGGGATTTCTATATTCTAGTATGAAAATTATTAAACAATCACTTGGAAGTTTTCCTCAATGTTCGACCTAGTCATTAATGACTATTCTTATTTGTTTCCAGAGATATTTCAAAAGTGTTGGACGAAGAATATGTTATAGAACCACATTAACAGTGAATTTGTCCAAACAGATTTCCTCTATCGACATACAAACACTACTGCTTTATTAGTTTCCATTTGTTTTTGTGGAAATTTACTTATCAGTCAATTATTTGGCACTTAAACGTCATCTTTTACTTATATAATGCCCAAATATGTGAGACATTTTCAGAGGGAACTTGTTGTTTTTTGCATTCATTTGTATTCGTTAGTGCTTGACTGAAATACGGTCGTCAAACCTTGTTTATTTAGAACATAAACTAAAATATCTGAAAGTAGGTGCTTTCATTTATAAATTTTTAAATTCTAAGTACGAACAAAGACTGAGCGATTCAGTCCTGAACTTCAATGAATGCCATACTCTACTAATAGTTTGGTGGCTCTGACTGCTTTCCTGGTTTACTTTATTACTCTTTGGAGTTTCAAATAAAGCATGTCGTCTTGAGTTTTGAATAAACATATCAACGCTCGGATCTAGGCTAACCAGTCATAATGCAACATTTCTTCCGATGACAGATCCATATGTCTTATACAACTTTCACTTTTAATGAAATCATTATTTTATTGTTAAAATATTATAGTAGTTGTCTAACTGACCAGTATTCTCGTTTACAGAGTTTACGCGAGCACACAGCGAATGAAATTGCAATAGCATAGGACTATACTTGTTTAATTGCCTGTTAAATTTTATTATAAATCTTGTCTGGGAAATAAGTTCATGTGTTACTTCTCGTTATTTCACCTACTGCTTTGAATGAACATCTTAAGACTACATTGAACCTGTTTCATTCTTCCTGCATGTCTAAAGCAGTTGCATGTGCAGATATAAGTTACATTATGTTGAGCTCTTCGTGCTAACTATATTCTATTGATTCGAATTCCACTGAAGTTACTCGATATGTCGTTTCAGATGATTGAAGATGACTGATATTTGCTTATGGTTTCCATTGAATTATATAAACTACTTGAGTGGCACATTCTCCCTAGAAACAGTGAACTAGTGTCATCAGTGATCATATTCTGTTTGTTACTTTTTTATTCTGATAACAAAGAATGACACCAATTACTCCGTAATGAAATATTAGTTGTTATTCTTTTGTAAGGAAGACCAGTTAATAGTTGAACAAGTAACTTCTCTAAATTGCCCAATCTTTGACACAAGTTAAAATTTGCGAAACAGTATTAATTTTGATTGAGATTGCAGATATGTATTGCTAAAAACGGACATAAGTCTACAAAATAGACTCCAATCTTTGTATGAACTACCTCCACTCATATACTGATTTTCTGCTGATGTTCTTAAACGTTTCATTTGCTTAAAATAAGTTAGCCGTAGTTCGTATACTGTTATTTTTTTATTAAACGAACCAGAAGATCCTTAACGGTCTATACAAACAAATTCCCTTTGCTCTTTTCACTTCTAACCTTATAGATGAATTTCATGCAGAAATGAAACTAGGTTAACACCATTTATGATAACTATAAACATCTCCAATCTCTTAGAATGTAACGTTATAAGCACATAAAAATGCAAATATATACAAAGTGTTTTGCCAGGCGCATATTATTTCAAATGGTATAGATTTACAAGATTATTATAATATTGGCTGAAATGCGGGTCCTGAACAGATTTTACGTTTAAATTTGGAAATCATTTAGTGATGTGAATGAAGTAGGGTTCTTAAATAAACACCTTTTTTCGTAAACGGTATTTTAAAATTCATCTAAGTTGTGGGATTAGCATTCAAAATCTCGGAGCACTGAGTAATCATCTATTTTTTTAGTTAAAATTTCAGTGGGGTTTCATCCTGTAAGTTGGGTAGCCTTATAGTGAAACCTTCATTGTTATTCTGAACAGCATAATCAACACAAACTTTCCCTGAGTATGAGACTCTGCTAAAACCATCCTTGTCAAGCTACAATTCTTCACCAGCTCTATATTTAGCAACGTTAAGTGAATTCGAACTGGAAATCATGAACTTCTAAAATGAATCATTCAGGCAGAGTCCATATTTCATGAATCTCTTGGTATTTACCTTTTATATAGAAGAAGTTGTTACAAATAAAATGAAGGTAACCTAGTATTTTGCTGTTTTTATATGCTTCTGATATCCACTATAATAAGTCATTCAAAAGATCATATAAGTTCTAAAACATGAAATAACGTGTATCCAGTTGACGTTCTTGAAAAACTGAAATTTACTTCCCTATATCATACTCTTTTCATGGAATTCATTCTGATATCTGTATGTCAGTGTATCTCCATAGTTATTAAACAACTGATTTAATCAGTTTCATTAATTAAACGCTCATATTCCGTTTTTTATTATCCGATTTCCCCCCATCTTTTGTTTTTTTTTTTTTTCCTTTTATTTTACAGATATGTATTACGAAATAGATTTAAATTCATTAACAAATAACAATAAAAATTGTTCTAATAAAAAACGAATTCAAAAAGAAAAACGTTTATATTCCTTAGATAATTTACAATATATCTATGCACATCTATGTATTATTGATTTTGACGGTATATTGAATTCCATGAATAAACAAGAAATTCTTATGTCTCTTACATCAACTGAATTATGTTTTGCTATACGACGTGCTATTGATACAACAATTAAAGATTTATTTGGTGAATTTTCTGGTTTACCAATATTAAATTATGATTTATTATTTTGTCGTAGAGAAACGAATGATAATAATGATGATGATCCTGATGCTAATCGTCATCAGTTAACTATTTCAACAAATGCTTCAAGCATATCTTGGTCTATTCTACTCGCTGTACCGTATACTAATGTAGAGAAAATAATAGCAGCATTAAGTTTCATGACAAATGAATTAGGCGGTTTAGAATTAATCAATAAATTATTTGAGTCAATTCATTTAAATAATGATTCATTAAAATTCTATGTAGATGTTATATCTGTATCTGATTCATTATTCAATTTACCATGTATTCCTATTTATAAAACAAAAAATGTTTAAATATTACGATTACTCTTTTCCATTTTGATAAATATGATTTATTTAATTCTTTTCAATGGGGTATAACAATATAGAGTACGCACAAATCATTTATGTTATATCGATTGCTTGCGTTCTTTCCCAGTTGATATATGAGTGTTAAGACTGCCTATCAGAGAGTAGTGAGTTTATCGATCGGACTAATGATATACAAAAGCCGTATGAGCAGCTCTGAGCTGGGAGCTCAGAGAATAAACCAACATCAAAAAGTAGATTTCATTCAATGATCATAATAATTTAATTTTTTTCTAAATAATACAATACTACAACTGATTTGGCATCTGCTTGTGTCCACTAATGTCTTAGTCTATTGAGCTGTGAATTTTCGAAGATCCTATCTAATAATTCGTGATGAGCCTAATAATACTAAGTCAGCACAATTAATCTCTTTATATTTTACACTGGTCATTTATTGGCTTATAGTGTTTGTACCTGTACACAATAAAAGCAGATCAAAATGTGGAATTATTATCGTGTGAACAATAAATAAATATTAATCAAAACGAATAGATCAAAATTTCCTCATATTATGATTATTAAATGTCAGGAAAGACGTCTACGTATTTAGGTGGGAATATTGTTAAACTGAAATATGTAATTCGTCATATTTTTGTTCTATTATACTTTTCTCAAGTACTGATTGCATGGCTATAATATTCACATTTATTGTTAAGACTATTGTAAATATTTTCTGAGTAACGTCCAAACAGGTAATTTTGATACTAATGAATTTGTTGTTAAGTATAATACTGTGATTGACTTGGAAAGTGAATCCACAATCATTTTCTCACTCTCTTCATTTCATTATATCGTGTACATGTAGAAATAACGGTGAACCTATTAATATATCTTATGTTATCCTATGGAATTCAGCATTTCAAGAAGAAATATTGCAGTTGATCCTTACCATTTACCACTTTCCTGACAAAAACTACTTCGATTTATGTTAGTGGATTTTCCGCGATTCATCAGTTGTCTGGCCGAAGTAACAGTTTCATGTGACGAAACTTACCAAAGATCATATTGTAGTCAATATAAATTACCTGCATAAGCGTCATCATTTCAGTCGATTTTCTCGAATATATATGTTCCTTATACTAGTTAAATCTCATTGAACGCTTAGTACCAGGATGCTGATATCTACATGGTTTATAATCCTTTTTAATTAATTCTCTAATATTTTTCATCCGAAATTATTAGACTAAATTATTGGTCATTTGAAAAGTGGTATTGGGAATCTGTCTTATGAATAGAAATGACTGGTATTCTTTTCATTTGTTTGAAAGTACACAAGCTAAGAATTAATCTGAATATCATGATCAGAGATATACCTAGGTTCAATGTAATTTGTTCAAAATGAACTCCCTATTGATGTTCATCAGGTCTTACCTCTAGAGGTTTTCAGAAGCTTTTCTATTTGCTGTGTCCGATAAAATTATATCCTGTTGAGGACTTTTGTGTGAAAATATTACCAGAGTATCTTTCGCTGTATTATCGCAAATTTAGCTGTTCTGTAACCTATTGAGGTGTTCAGTCACATTTATATCAACAACTAGTTTGAACAAAGTTTCGAAAATCAATTTCTTATCCTTTTATAGTAACAATAGATCTAATTTATGCTTCATCCTTGCAAACATTAGCATGAACCAGAGCGTTAGTCAAAAACTGCATGTTTATAGTGTATGAGGGGAGTGTGGCAAAGAAGAAATAGGAACGGCGAGCAGAACAGTCACATAAAGAGGGGAACAAGTATGATGTATGCTATTTATGTCAACAGAGATAAGTAGTATGTAAATGGAATGTTTGGTAGCAGAAGGTTGATAAGATTGAACTGAAAAAAACAAAGGAATTGAGAGACGGAAGAATCATGAAGGATGTGCAGGACAGTTGATGGAGGATTCTCAAATGAAGTATTTAATATATGGTTTTCACCTTTTAGGAAAGAACTAATTTTTCGCTAAACAACAGACCAGTCTTCCCCTACTTGATTTTTTCGTTCACTACACGTCGTTTTGCTTAAAGTCAATGTCTGGTTGATCAACCTCCCGAAGGAAGATGAGATAATTAATCTTCATAGAAGAACTTCAAATTAAACATTTGAGATTCCTGATGATTATATTCATTGTTATATCTCTGTTGTTCTGAATAAAAATATAACATTTTCATTACTTCATTTACTACAACATAATTCTGATGTTTCTCTACCTCAGAGAGCAAATAACTTTAATCAAACTAACACGTTTACTGTGTACACGGAATAAATCATATAAAATATTTAATACATTTAAACAGATTCGATTGTACTAATTTTATATGAAGTTAAGGTGGTTCCTAATTAAGAGACGACTGTGTATTCATGTGGATGTGAAAAATTCGATGTTAATAATACGAATGAGTCATTGAAATTAAGTTTGTCAATAAGGAATTCAAGTTATGAAATGAAGTTCCATAACAAACACATACCCCTAAACATAATCTGCTTGCTAATCTTTAATCAAAATAGATTACCGTAATGAACGGAATAGCCTTCGATTAAGAGCTAACATTGCCCTGACCTTTCCTACCATCAATTTAATTATCACGTAGGGAAGTGAAAGCCGATCTCAAAATGTTTAGCTTGCACTCTTTCTCATAACATCAACATTGATTATCATTACAATTATTAGGATTACCATCGATTTTTGGTAATTGCTAATAATGTTATTGTTTTATCAACTGTGATTGCAGCATTATGTCAATTTCACTGGTCTATAAATTCAATCTAATTTATATGCCTTCATTTGAAGCATAAGCTATCACAACTTACGAATTCTGTGTTAAATGCTTCCGCACGGCTATACACATAGGTGATTGATCAAGACTGATTTTTCGCCGTATGCAAGACCAGGTTACTAAAAGACAATGTAGATAAATTAGGCCTTTTATTGTCTAACATGTAGCAGATTCTAAACACTCAACTCCAAATTGAACTTTTAACATCGTTTTTAAAATTCAGTCAAAAACCCAGAAATTTCTTAAGTAAACAGATCGAATATGAAATTTCACTTTCCTTTTCTATTCACTCATTAAAGAGAGAAGTGTAATACCAGATGAATACATTAATTCAACAAGGAAGGAAAAGATCGCATTCTATACTACATCCAAAGTGATTAATTAACTAAATTACGTTTGATATGATATTGTAATTCAATCATATTAATTTGTCATTTATCCACTCGTTATTGTCTATTTGTTTTTCTTGTTCCTGATGCTTCTTGATTACCTTTTTGGCGACATTGTAACCATACATTATTTCTAATTTATTCAGTGAAATGTTTCACACATATTTTCACCGTTAAACATAATTAATCAATTGATTAATCCAAAAAAAACTGAAGTTCATTTATGCATATCTATAGTTTTCATTATTCATAGATTTCGGTAGATCTAAGTGTATATTACTTCTGATTGTTTTTATTAAAACGTTTTCTCAAGGAATTATATTTCAATTAATCACAACATCAGTTTCTTATGCCCATCACTTTTATTTTAACAGAATCATTTATATCTACAGACCGACGCATGTACACATGTCTATGTTCACACGCCAATGGAAAATTAGAAAAAAAAATCTTGCCGTTCATCACTGATGTTTGTCTACATAAAAAGAGCATTATCATTCGGATGATAGTTGGAGAAACGTAAATAAATCTGTATTTTCCAAACTTGTTCAAGTAATAGAAGAACCATCAATATTATATCAAAATTAGCTATTTTACTTAGATTTTAAAACGTAGAGAATAACAAAAACGGTCTAAACTATTGTTAAGAGGTTTTTCATTGAGCGAATAGCTAATATGTTATTTGTAACTTTACTCTTATGTTTGGGATTATATCGACAATAGATTTAACATGTGAAAGTAATATGTAGGTATCATTACCAAGTTTTGATTTGATAATTTTGAATAAATTGAGCATTGGGTAGATTGTTATAAATAAATAATATATTTGTAATATCCCAATGAGTAGAAAAATTAGACTTTCTGACGTTTCGTGACTCAGTGTAAGCCACTTCTTCAGAGAATAAATAACCAAATTAACATTAATCCAAGTTTAAATAGTAAAACGGAACAACACGAATATTAGGTGCGATCAATCAAAAAACAGGTCTGAATAGATCAATGTCATGTCATTTCATTTCCGTCAAAGTGATTAATAAGCGACATGTATGTAATTTTGTGTGTATGTATGCATTGTTAATGATGAAAAATAAGTGACCTTTATAACGACAAAGGATAGAGTTTAATTTGTAATGTAATGGTGTGAAATTGTAAATGATATCAGACTAGGTGACTGGGATAGACAATTCAAGTAGGATGTATGGTAAGGCCTTCCTTTCTATTGAGAGCAGTAGGATTAAGCATTATATGGAAAGCTTCAGGTATTCTTCTTTCTTTGTAGTTGGAAAAACCTTTCTGTAGTATTTTGATATTTTTGAAATCAATTTGATGATTGTTGAAAATAGCGTGAACTGCTATTGCCAATTTATTTTAAAGTCTATCCAGTTCTAAAGGAGTATTAAGAGGTTTCTTTGTGTACCTAATATGTTCTTAGGCACGAGTCAAGGTTTCGCAAGATCACTCTCCAATATAGAAGGCATTACAATCGGCACAACTTAATTTGTAGACGCAGTTCTGTGTCGACATGAAAGGGAGTTCTTCAGTTGTGCCATGACGGTATGGTAAAACTGCAGTACCAATCCACGGCATTTCATTCGAGTTGTTATTATTATTACGTACTAAACTGTCCTGTTTTAATAAACTTTTAATAATCTTCATAGGAAAATTATTAGATTGTAAGATACTAATTACATTCTTTTGCTCTTTTTGTTTGTCTTCTTCTGAGGTGATGACCTTGTTGGCTCTTCTAAAAAGATCTAAGGCTAACGAGATTTTTGCACTGAACGGATGTGCTGAATGGAA